ACCATAATATAGTACCATATTATGTACATGGCGTTCGATTGGGCTTAAATATGGGATACAACGTATCTTGGGTGATATTGTAATATTATGGTACCATGGAGCATAATAAGAGGTACCATAAGATAGTACCATATTACGATACCATTTCCTGGCGTTCGATTGGACTTAAACTTGTTATACTACGTATCTTCGGTTACATTGTAATATGATGGTACTATGATGCATATAAAGTGGTACCTGAATATAGTACCATATTTCAATACCATTTCCTGGCGTTCGATTGAGCTCGTATTTGATATATACTTGCGTATTTTTGATGACATTGCATTATTATGGTACCATGAAGCATATCAACTGGTACCATAATATAGTACTATATTACGTACATGGCGTTCGATTGGGCTTAAACTTGGGATAATACGTATTTTCGGTGACATTGTAATATGATGGTACTATGATGCATATAAAGTGGTACTTTAATATAGTACCATATTACGATACCATTTCCTGGCGTTCGATTGGGCTCAAACTTGGTATACTACGTATCTTCGGTTACATTGTAATATGATTGAACTATGATGTATATAAAGTGGTACCTTAATATAGTACCATATTACGATACCATTTCATGGCCGTTAGATTGTTCTTAAATTTGGTATACTACGAATCTTCGGTGACATTACAATATTATGGTACCTTAAAGTATATCGAGTGGTACCATAATATAGTACACTATTATGATATCATTTCCTGGAGTTCGATTGGGCCCAAATTTGGTATACTTGCGTTTCTATATAAAGATTTGTTTAATTAATAATTTTAATTTATTTTACGAATTTTAATTTATTGTTCGATGTCGTGACAGCAATTTTTATGCCGAACTAATATATTATTAATTGTACCTGTGTCACTTTTTAAAATCTACCTAGGTCTATATAAATAACGTGGCAAACGAAAGAAATTTGTTATTATAGTATTTTTTAGTCACTTAACATTTTTTGTACTGCATTTTAATAAATTATTTCCATTATTATTAAACTTATATTTCATTACTAACATTCCAGCATTAATAAATATCACTATCAATTGCCCTGTATATTATTAATTTTAAAAGGTAATTAAAGGCATTTTCTTAGTTAACATTATAAGGTATAGTGTATATTAAAAATGTAATATATACTTAAAACTGTTTTAATAGCCAAAGGAATAATTAATATAAGTGTATCTGACAAGAAAAGAAGAATAGAAAGAAACACATACTGCATTATACACAATAAAAAGAATGGGATGCCAATTCAAGTCTTTTTGGATCTGGCAACTGTGCATATTTAGCCGAGCTATAAGGCCGTCGACGAGCCGTCGATCCAAAACCGAAAGTTCAAAATTTCTAATTATATTCTGATTATGATATTGTCGCGCCATCTAGTATTCTATTTGTGCAATTTTAGCTCTTTCATTTCGAGTATTTCTCTGTTGCGTAGCTAGATATTCTGTGATATTTTGCTCGATTCCCCTTCGAGATAACCTCTCATAACTGCTAAGTATTTCTAATTCTTGTCTAGATTATACGGAAGAATAAGGAACCTTTATTCTTCCACAAATATATCCATAGGATTAGATCCATGGGCACTAAGTCAGGCGGCCTCGACGGCCCACGGCTGGGATCTTGGTAAGCTATTTAATTATTCTTGAAATTGGCTGCAAAAATTTGCTGATAACTTAAGCGTTCAGAGGCGGTGCGTCGTCTTGCTGGAAAAATATGTTTTCGAGTTCCATTAAGGGCATATCATCAATAAGGGGTCCAGAGCCTACTAGCACAGAATATCTAGCTGCGCAACAGAAGCCTCGTTACATGTATAAAATTGTAGGTAGCAAAAGGAGACAGGCTTTAAAAGTCTGTCTCCAAATCAGATATTTTGATGTGGTAGTTTCGCTACTACATAATAGAGGGCAATAAATTTAAAAGAATACAGTTTTCTACAAACAAAATTTAAAAGAATTTTGTGCAGTGTTGCCATTGTGTAATTCATATCGTAATACTTCCTGATAAAGCCTCCCTTCAAATTTGCTACATCATTTAAACATATTAAAATAGATCAGAGCTGTTTTTTTCAGTTTGCCATGTTAGTTGGAATTAAATCTTATGAACTAAATTACAATTACTTCCTGACGTTTGATTGTATAATTGAATCCTGAATTTTCATTGTAATTCGGCGACAATATAATAAGTATTGTTCTACTATTATGATACCACTTCCTGACGTTCGATTGTGTTCATACCAACTTCATATTGTATAATAGGGAAAAACCGGCGTTAGCGATAGCTATGAAATGAATATCACTGTCATTTTATATGTAAATTTATATGGGAAATGTCATCGATCGTCCTTTTCCAGCCAACTGGACGCCGTTTTTTTCAGAAGCATATCAAGTGATACCATAATATAGTACTATATTACGATACATGGCGTTCGATTGGGCTTAAACTTGGTATACTATATCTTCAGTGACATTGTAATATCATGGTACCATGGAGCATATAAAGTGGTACCTTCTATAGTACCATATAGCAATATTAGGTACATGGCGGCAATAGGGCTTAAACTTGGTATACTACGTATTTTCGGTGACATTGTAATATGATGGTACTATGATGCATATCATCTGGTACCATAATATAGTACCATATTATGTACATGGCATTCGATTGGGCTTAAATTTGGGATACTACGTATCTTCGGTGATATTGTAATATTATGGTACCATGGAGCATAATAAGAGGTACCATAATATAGTACCATATTACGATACCATTTCCTGGCGTTCGATTGGGCTTAAACTTGTTATACTACGTATCTTCGGTTACATTGTAATATGATGGTACTATAATGCATATAAAGTGGTACCTTAATATAGTACCATATTTCAATACCATTTCCTGGCGTTCGATTGAGCTCATATTTGATATATACTTGCGTATTTTTGATGACATTGCATTATTATGGTACCATGAAGCATATCAACTGGTACCATAATATAGTACTATATTACGTACATGGCATTCGATTGGGCTTAAACTTGGGATACTACGTATTTTCGGTGACATTGTAATATGATGGTACTATGATGCATATAAAGTGGTACCTTAATATAGTACCATATTACGATACCATTTCCTGGCGTTCGATTGGGCTCAAACTTGGTATATACGTATCTTCGGTTACATTGTAATATGATTGAACTATGATGTATATAAAGTGGTACCTTAATATAGTACCATATTACGATACCATTTCATGGCGTTCGATTGTTCTTAAATTTGGTATACTACGGATCTTCGGTGACATTGCAATATTATGGTACCTTAAAGTATATCGAGTGGTACCATAATATAGTACACTATTATGATATCATTTCCTGGAGTTCGATTGGGCCCAAATTTGGTATACTTGCGTTTCTTTATAAAGATCTGTTTATATAATAATTTTAATTTATTTTACGAATTTTAATTTATTGTTCTTTATGTACTTTTATGCCGAACTAATATACTTTTATGCCGAACTAATATATTATTAATTGTACCTGTGTCACTTTTTAAAATCTACCTAGGTCTATATAAATAACGTGGCAAACGGAAGAAATTTGTTATTATAGTATTTTTTAGTCAGTTAACATTTTTTGTACTGCATTTTAATAAATTATTTCCATTATTATTAAACTTATATTTCATTACTAACGTTCCAGCATTAATAAATATCACTATCAATCGCCCTGTATATTATTAATTTTAAAGGTAATTAAAAGTATTTTCTTAGTTAATATTATAAGGTATAGTGTATATTAAAAATGTATATGTTTTGTAATAATATACTTAAAACTATTTTAATAGCCAAAGGAATAATTAATATCTCATCTGTGTATCAAAGTGTATCTGACAAGAAAAGAAGAATAGAAACAAACACATACTGCATTATACACAATAAAAAGAATGGGATGCCAATTCAAGTCTTTTTAAATCTGGCAACTGTGCATATTTAGCCGAGTTTTAAGGCCGTCGACGAGCCGTCGATCCAAAACCGAAAGTTCAAAATTTCTAATTATATTCTGATTATGATATTGTCGCGCCATCTAGTATTCTATTTGTGCAATTTTAGCTCTTTCATTTCGAGTATTTTTCTGTTGCGTAGCTAGATATTCTGTGCTACTAGTTAAAAGTGGCAAACTTTTAAAAATTCTGTATTTCAAAGTGGACTATAACAAAATATCAAGTGTGCTATATTTTTGGAAAGGTAATTTTAAATTCTTTTCAGTTAATTAAAAATATAGAGAGTGTCCCAAATAAAAAATCAATTTTTTTGTTGATAACTCTTAAATTATTAATTTTAAAAAAATTATACTTAAACCATTAAATTCTACGTAAAAAGTTGCTTTGGAAGTGTTTTCATAGAAATACAAAATTTTCCATAGCAAAAAAGTTACAGCGATTTGTTAAAAATGCACATTTTTGAAAAACACCCCGTAACTCCGAAACGGTAACAGATTCTGATGTGCGGTTTTCACCATCATGTTTTTGATGAAAATTGAGCTCCAGGCACCGATATTAGTTTTCGTCTATCTCCTATAGAAAAGGGTGTTTCCATTTAAAAGCGTCGAATTTGACCCACCCTGTACACTACCACGGCCCGTTAAATCTTGTAAAATTTATTGGTGTAACATTCTCAAATAGCAAACTACAACACTGTAGATATAGTGAACTAAAAATTGTGGACCATTATAAAACCTGGAAATACTAAAAGATCCATTACACGTATAAGTGGGAGTCAAACTAAAAAAAATCTGAAATATGATAGAAAAATGGAATTAACGTGTTTAATGCGTCACACTGTTAAAGTTTTTACCTCGTCCTACAAGGGTTTATATCGTTCCATTGGCTAATTACGGCTCGTGAGAGGGCGCTTCCATTGGCCGAAGACAATATAAAACTGAAAACAGCGCGCGATGTGTCTCCACATTCCTGTATCAACCGGCGGTAGCGGCTCCCGGATTCCAGATACAACAGTCAAGAAGTTGCAGTTTGGGGATAAATCCAGTGCGGAAGCCGTGATACATCTCTAAAAGGTAAGTCTTATATTAAGCCATTTTAAGATTCTTGTAATATTGGATGCACATTAAAAAAAACTGTTCTTAAATCAACTTATTTAAAATTGTGTAAAGTTTTTTTTTATACAAGTTCGCCTATCAAAAGTTTTTTAGGATCTTATTGCAAAATAAAAACACTAAATCACCACAATACACCAAAACACTTTTACTTTTACACTGGACAAGTAAAAGTGTTTTGCTAATTATGTTAGCATCATCAGCAGATGATTATAAACTCAGTTTATAATCATCTGCTGATGATGCTAACACGGTTAGCGAAACGCGCGTCCAGTGTAAAAGTAAAAGTGTTTTGGTGTATTGTGGTGATTTAGTGTTTTTATTTTGCTGTGTAACACCAAAGGTTCCAACCCTCAACTGTAATAATTAAGGATCTTATTGAAATACAAATCTGCATATTTTCGACCAAGGATTTTGCAGGGTGTATTTTCTTTTTAAAATATTTCTTACTTTTTTGCACTTCCGGTTTAATCGAAAGTGGTTAATTTGATAATTTTAAATGGAATCTGGTTTCCAGATCGCCGATCGGGGAAAAACTTTTTTTATTAAAATTTTACGAAAAATGGATTGTCTATAAATTTTTTGATTGTGTTTATTTTTATAACTTCATGTATCAAAAGTTATTTAGAATCTAATTTAAATACAAATCTAAACATTTTAGACTAAGGATATTGCGAGGTATACTGTCTTTATACAGGGTACGTCTCAAAAGTGGCTCACCCCTATAACTTTTTTTATTTTTTCAGATAAAAAACGAGATTTTGTATATTAGTATTCTACATAAATTAGGATTGATTAACGTATTCAATAATTGTTTTTGTCACTTCCTGTTTTAGCGGAAATGACTACAACTTTTGATTTTTAAATGGCACGCTCAGTATATTTCTATTTTATTCGATAGAAAATGACACTCTGAATAGAATGACACTTCAGATGTCAACTTTTGGCATTTTCGCATATGGTTTATTTGAAATTGTAACATGCGGTTCATAACGACATTTTGACTCGAAATACCAAATGTGTGGTATTAAAAAAATATTCGTAAAAAAATGCTTTTCCCAAATATGCTAATGAGCCAACCTCGTTCCACTTGAAAAAATTGAGATATGATTAAAAATTCAATATGGGCATCTTTTAACCGGCCAGGACGAGACCTTAGACAAGACACGAAAAACATTAGATGATCAAATCTATTTTACCAAGGCTCCTTGATATTTTATTATATACAGGGTTGTTCACCACATACGACTCGGAGTATTGTAGCTAAACGATTAGATTTTTACAAATTGTAAGTTTTGGGTTCGTTGAAGGACTATTAGAGCTACAATTTAAAAATATTTTTACCAGATACAGAGTGTCCCAAATAAATAAAAAATATCAAAGTTGTATTTTTTTAAATGGAACACCCTGTATATTATTACATTTTTAGTTTCTACGATTAAAATAAAGGTAAATTTGATTAAGGTTTATTACACTTAAACCTTACCGTTTTTGAAATATTTTCAATTTTGTGAAATTGCAACAAAAATTTTAAGGCTTCATTTCTCCAAGGGTATCAAAGTTTTTAATACTAAATATTTACTGAAGTTTATTTATTGATCAGTTATTACGTTGCAATAATAAAAATAATACTACCTCATACAGAGTGTCTAAAAATTTATTTTAAATAATTTCCAGCTTTAAACGGCAATAACTTGTTTAATTTAAATAGAACGCCCTGTATATTTTAGAAGAATCAGATGCACAATTTAATTGTCTATCATTGTATTATACCATTATACCATCCCTTAGTTTTCGTAGAAAATGCATTTTCTTATAATTTAACTCAAATCAATATACCCATGGAATATTGACATTTTAGATTGTTTTTAAAGCAACATATGTACAAAACGTACAGGCTAGTAATATTATCGTTTTTAGCAAAACGATAATATTACCAGCTCATTTGTATGCAAGAAGAAAACTATTTAAATCTTTATAAAAGAGTATACCATTAATTAAATATACCACCATTATTTCCGCCCAAATACTGATTAATTACATACTTAATTGTGTTCGTTAATAAATTATTCTGAATAAATGTGAATTTGAATCAGAAATTATTATCATAATAAGTTATGAAAATGAACGTCTCTGTTGTTATGAATAAGCATTTGTGAAAAAATGAAATATCATTTTTAAGTAATACCTTAAAATACCATAGTGTCTAATACACATACAAAATTCAGTATTTTAGTATTTGGAGCAATTATTATTAGTCAACGCAAACAGTCAATTAATGTAGTTTGAATACTGGAATCATATTAATTGGTCCTCTTTAACAAATATTTAAACAGTTTTTTTTTTTATTTTTTAATGAAATAAACGAATTATATCGACAATATTAGTATCTGTACTCTTTAAAAATTTGATACGTCTTTAAAAATAAGCTAAAATGTCAGTATTCCATGGGTATATTGATAAATGAGTTGTAAATTACAACAAAATGCATTTTCTATGGAAACTTGAAGAGATAAGTAAAAATGGTGTAATACAATTTGATAGACAATTAAATTATGCATCTGATTCTCATGAAATATATAGAGGGTGTTCCACTTAAATTAAACAAGTTATTGCCGTTTAAAGCTAGTAATTATTTAAAATAAATTTTTAGACACTTTGTATAAGGTAGTATAATTTTTATTATTGCAAGACAAAATTCAGTAAATATAAATACTCGAGTACAATATTTGGTTTTAAAAACTTAAATACGCTTAGAGAAATGAAGCATTAAAATTATTACTGTATTTTGACAAAAACCAAAATATTTCAAAAACGGTAAGGTTTAAGTGTGATAAACCTTAATCAAAATTACCTTTATTTTAATCGTAGAAACTAAAAATGTAATCATATACAGGGTGTTCCATTTAAAAAAATACAACTTTGATATTTTTTATTTATTTGGGACACTCTGTATCTTGTAAAAATATTTTTAAATTGTAGCTCTAATAGTCCTTCAACGAATCCAAAACTTACAATTTGTAAAAATCTAATCGTTTAGCTACAATACTCCGTGTCGTATGTGGTGAACAACCCTGTATATTTTATTGCGAGGGTGCCATTTAAACATCAAAGGTTGTAGTCATTTCTGGTGAAACAAGAAGTGATTGTAAACAATTGAATACGTCAATCATTCCTAATTTATGTCATATACTAACATACCAAATCTCGTTTTTTTATCGCACCCGGTATAGTATGATTCATAAAATTTGTATAATATTTGAAGCATAAAAAAAATAAAAACTTTTTATTAACTAACTTTATTAAAATTGTTATACAGGCTTAATTTAAATACAAATCAGTGTATTTTAGACTGAGGATATTGCGAGGTTTATTTTTTTATACAGGGTGTCCCAGAAATAAGTGCAAATATTTTAAGGGGTGGTAGATCTCGATAAAAGAAACATATTTTCTCTTTATCGTTTTTCAAATAAGTCCAAAATAACGGAGTTATTTTACTTTGAAAATTTAAAAAAAAAATTTTTGCTAAAATTTTAAGACCCACTGGATCTTTTCTGGATTTTTTTTCTTGTATATTTAATCTAATACCTATGTTGCCATATTATCAAGAAATTATGTTTTTTAACTAAAAACTAAACAAAAATTTTCAAAAAATTTCGAATTTTTAAAAAAAATTTTTGGCGAAAAAACCTCATAGGCGTGCTTCTGGGGTTGAATGGGGTCTTTCTGGATTAATCGAAAATTGTTAATTTGATAATTTTAAACGAAAACACAGTGTATTCCTGGATCGTCTTCACAAAAAACTTTTCTGTTATGAAAATTTTGAGAAAAATGGATTCTCTATAAAAATTTTTGCTTGTCTAAAATGGTTAGTTAACTTCACATTTCCAAATTTCCATACCGTTATAATGATGACCGGTTGAATTTTTTTAAGTCATAAAAATCAAAATGCGTGTCTTGGTGATATAATTCAGTTTTCATTTTTTGATAGTTGACTACTACCATTTTTGACGTCATTAGCGACATATGTTTTGCTGTTGTTAAAGTATATGCGTTTTTAACATTTTAGAACAGAACAAAATATGACTTTAATTAAAATTAATAATAATGCTTCGACGTTCTGGTGATATACTGTGTATATTTTATGTTTTTTTAATGTTACATTAAAGTCTACGTAACGGTAACTATCTAACATTAATGTTACATTAAAGTCTATCTTGTTACGATGCTCTATACCTAAGTTAAACATTTTTTGAAATATTTCAATTTTTTGTCAAAACTTACATTGCAGAGCAAAAATAAATCACAGGGTGAGTCTTAAATAAGTGCAAATATTTTCAGAGCTGGTAGATCTCGATAAAAGAAATATATTTCCTCTTTGCCGATTTTCAATTAAGCTCAAAATATCGGAGTTATTTTATTTAGAGAATATTGATTTTTTCTTACAGTTTGGAGATCCACTGATTGGTTTTTCCGTTCTTCTGTTCATCTAAATTTAATATACTACATATGTTGCCGTATTATCGAGATATATATTTTTTAGCTGAAAATTTAATGACACAAAAATACACTTATTAATTTATCAAATATTACTTTTTCAAATGATGAAATTTCAATATTGGAAAAAGGATTAAAATATTCCCCAGCTGTTTTTAACAAAAAAGCCATAGAATTGCTAGCAGTTAACACCGAAATCGCAGTTGGGACTTTACCTCATGCCTCAACATGTAATAAATATCGCATACTAGAAAATTTCAATAATTGTAACAAATATTTAAAAACTAACAGTAAAGAGAAAAATATCATACAGTCTATAACCAAGAAAATAAATGATAACAATTTAATAATTACAAAAGCGATAAGGGCAACACTATAACAATTCTTACAAAAACAGAATATGATAAGAAAATAGCTGATATTTTAAATAGTGGAGATTTTACTAAAATTTCTGATCCAACATG